CGGGAAGGGGCGGCCCCCGGAGTCATCCGGCCTCTGCGCTTCCCCGCGGGTCCCGGAGCCTTCCTTCTCGGGAGGGGAAGTGACAGGACAAGCAGCAGGCTGCGGTAGAGGCGAGCCAGCGCTGCCAGGCGCGCGAGAAGGATCCTGTTTGTACCAGCATTTCCACCCTCGTGCGACCAGTAATAGTAAAAGTGTTCAAAATGCACCAGCATTTCTGAATCGGAATCCGGCCTCTGCGCTTCCCCGCGGGTCCCGGAGCCTTCCTTCTCGGGAGGGGAAGTGACAGGACAAGCAGCAGGCTGCGGTAGAGGCGAGCCAGCGCTGCCAGGCGCGCGAGAAGGATCCTGTTTGTACCAGCATTTCCACCCTCGTGCGACCAGTAATAGTAAAAGTGTTCAAAATGCACCAGCATTTCTGAATCGGAACTCGTGGTAGAGGTTATATCTTTTATTAGACCGACTAGATGTTTGCAACAACAAAAAAAAAGTGTATTTGCAGACCAGCAGGCACCCCATGCCTGACGAAGGGTGACTGCCTGAAAGCTTCCCAAGAACTTTTTTTCAGCTACTCAATTGGTCTGATAAAAGATACCAGATCAACTCAAAGAACCTTGTCTTCTTTATTTGCAAGCTTTCAGGCACAGGCACCCTTCAAGCATAGGGGAAAAGACTGTACAAGTTCTCCTGGGTAGAAATAAAAGTTTGTATTTCATAGGAGAGTTGAAGGTGTGGTAAAATCTCCTGTTTGGAACAGTCCATTTTCTGTGCCTAGATTAGGCTAGGAGAAAAGTTGGAATAATTACCTCAAAGTTGTTTGGTGGCAAGCAGGAGGTAGAGTATTTCTGAGGCACTTAATTGATGCGCCATATGCAAAAGCCAAGTCACTGCCAGGGAGTCTTCACTGTCTTTTGGACTTGCTGTCAACACTTGTGAAAGCTTGCCTCGAAATGAAATAAAGAAATGCTTCAACTTCGATGACCCAGTTCTAACTCACTGGTGCCTTACAATGAACAATACAAAATAAATGAGCAAAGGACTTATTTGCATACTTACAATTTTTTCAGTGTACAGTAGTTTCTCAGCAAATACAACAATTTTGACCTTCCAAGACGATAATGTCTTATTTAAGACCTGGCAACCCTGAGGGGAGCCCCTAGCTCAGGGGCATGAAGGCAAGCTCCTCTTCTCCCTGGAGTGCTGGAAAAGAGCAGGCTGCAAAGCAGCATCTTTTCACTCAAGGCTCAGGGCCGAGGATAGACAGCAGGTCATGCACGTCTGCCAGTTCCCAGCCCACTTCACTGGCGGTGGGGTGCTGAAAGGAGAAGGCGGTGCTCACCTGTTGGCTGCTGCTTTGCCTTCAAAGGGTGCAACTCCCATCAGCTGAAGTTCTTTAGCAGTCTTATACCACTGATCAGAGAAGTAGCCTTCTTGGCAATAAAAGCTGCAGCAAGTAGCTGGTGCAGCCCAGCCAACCTAGCAGCTGTGCACCTCTGAGGACCCCTGGATACCTTGCAGACTCTCATCTCCCTAGAGGGATTAGGAGCTGAACCCTGTGAAATATCATATGGCATTGTTGTCAAGAGGGAAGCCGAAAATGCCTGAGTTGAGGCCTGCAAAACAGTTTGCAGACTTTACATTTTATTTAAATACGAAGCAGGATCTTTCCTCGCAAGGTGGAAGTCTTATAAATACTGCCGTAAAATTAATCCAAAAATAGGGTCCCGATTAAACAGGTGAAATTAAACAGACTTCATGATTTTGGCCCAGAGTTTAAGGATGCATTTTGTATAGCAATTATGTACCATAGATTTATTGTACCAATAGCAAATTTCAACCCCCTTTTCCTTCCCCTTCACAGAGTGAGCTCCATGAAAAGATGGATTTCACAGAAGCCTACTCCGATAGATGCTCTACTGTTGGACTTGCAGCTAGAGAAGGAAACATCAAAATTTTGAGGAAACTAATTAGACAAGGATACAGTGTTGATGTTCCTGATAACAGGGGGTGGATGCCAATCCATGAAGCAGCAGCCCACAACTCAAGTGAATGTCTGAAGCTATTAATTCATTCAGGTATGGAACACTTCATTCAGGATGGGGCAATTTTGTTTGAAATTTCCCCTGTAAAGTAGTGTAATATTACAATGTAAGAGATGCACCATCTCATTTATTAGTGATTTCTTTTGTAAATTTGAATGTGGTTGCAGTTATAAAAATGACTGTAAAAATTGCACTGGCCTACTCAGGAATAATAGCTCGTGTGTTTTGGGGATATATTTCCTTATTTTGCCGTTGCAGGGGGAGTATTCTTTATTGTTAGCTATGCTGAGAACATTCTGAGATTCTTGGTGGGGTTTGCAATGCTGACACAATTACTATTTGTTATGTTAGCCTAAACATCCTTTTGAATAGTTTTTGTAAGTGAAGTACTCAGTTCTGAGGAATGGCCAGATCTAAGGTTGCCAATGAAACAAAAGGCTTGGGTGGCTCTGAGAGCAAGACATGCCAAACATTTTGCTCAGTGTCTGTTTGTCTGTCTGTTGACAGTTTCCCTCCTGGGCTCCTTCTTTATCTGATGAAGTTTAGGGATAATGTACGTCTGCCTACTGATCCAGTTAATGCTAGTAGTGCTTGGTTGTAATAATGCAAGCCCTAGCCCTACTCTTTAAAGCTTACAGAGAACACAACAAGGGTCATACTAGGTCAGACCAATGGTTCCTCTAGCCCAGTATCCCACCATGACAGGAGTGGATGCTATAGAAGGAGAGCATTGAACCAGGTATATCCAGAGTGATCTGTCCCCTATTCATTATTTTTCCTGGCATCCACCATTTATCAGGTTAGAGATGCCAGAGGAAGATCTCTGACTGATCTGTTCAATAGCCATTAATAGATTTGTCACCCATGAACGTATCCAGTCCCTTTTTGAACCTGACTGTGCTGTCCGCCTCTACCACCTCCTGCTGGCAGACAAGTTAACTGTGTTGCTGTAAAAAAATAACTTTCTCTTGTTTTAAACCTGAGACCTACTATTTTCAGTGGGTGCCCCCTAGTTTTAGTATTTTGGGACTTGGTAAACAACACTTCCCTGTTCACTTTGTCCACACCGTTTATGATTTTGTAGACCTCTGTCGTGTTCCGCTTAATAATGCCTAACATTTTATTGGCTTTTTTTGGTCTCCACTGCATAGTGAGCTGATGTGAGCTGATGTTTTTAAAATACTATCTACAGTGTCTTTGTGGTCTCTTTCCTGAATCATGATGACACAGCTATTTCAGAACCCAGGTGTGTGTATGTACAGTAGTTGAGGTTAACTTTTCCCCAGGTGTATTACCTCGCACTTGTTGATATTGAAGTTCATCTGCTATTTTTTTTGCCTGCTAACTTAGCTTGGTCAGATCTTTCTTCAGCTCCTCTCCATCAGCTTGGAACTGGATTACAATAACTTGGTATCATCTGCCAACTGGAAGATTTCACTATGTACCTCCATTTTCAGGTCACTTATAAAACTTGAACAAAATAGGGTCCAGCACAGATCCCTACAGGGCTTCACTTTTGATGTCCCTTCATTCTGAAAAGTGACCATTTGGCTCTACCATTTGCTTTTTATCGTTTAATCATCTTTCAGTCCACAAAATAACCTTCCCTCCAATCCTGTGGCAACACAGTTTTTTTTTTTTTTTTTTTTTTTTTTATTCCACTTTTACATTTAGCATATACACTTGTAGCAGCAGTGTTTGTTCATCAGCCTGTTCTTCAGACCACTATGTCTTCCACTCTGTAGTTCCTAGATTGCCAAGGAGTCTCTACGGGTTTCCTGCTGTTCAGGATCCCTCTTATAGATGTTAGGGTTGGAAGGGACCTCAGTAGATCATCGAGTCCGACCCCCTGCATAGGCAGGGAAGAGGGCTGGGGTTTGATGACCCCAGCTAGATACTAGCTAACCTCCTCTTGAAGACCCCCAGGGTAGGGGAGAGCACCACCTCCTTTGGGAGCCCATTCCAGACCTTGGCCACTCTAACTGTGAAGAAGTTCTTCCTAATGTCTAGTCTAAATCTGCTCTCTGCTAGCTTATGGCCGTTATTTCTTATAACCCCCAGGGGCACCTTGGTGAGTAAAACCTCACCAATTCCCTTCTGTGCCCCCATGATGAACTTTTACCAATTCCCTTCTGTGCCCCCATGATGAACTCTTCTTTGTGATGCATCTATATAATTTGTGCTGGGTTAATAGAGGACCCCCTTTTGGCCCTGGACAGCTTTCTGTTAATGCCTTTTATCTATTAAAGTTGCCATTTTATTATAACATCAGCTCAAAGGGTATGGCATATTCAGGCTCTCATGTTTTCCCACCATATGCAGGTTAATAAAGACAAATGGGACTTTTAAGCCCCATCCTAAGTTTTAACCAAAAGCTCTCTCTAATTTTCATCTAACATAGCTGATTGATCTAGTACTTTTCCTAGCTCCCATTCAAAAGAGGAGGAAGCCAACCTATATGATTCTGATGTGGCTTGGACACTTCTCATACAACCTTCACAGAATAAAACCTTTTAAGATTTTCCCAAGATGTGGTGAAGGTTTGCAAATAGAGTTGGTGCTTAGGCAGTATTCACATAGATTGTCTAAATGAGCATGTAATTGTATTAAATCATACTATGATACAACTAAATTAGATTCACTCAAACTATTACTTAAGAAAATTAGTGCCAACCGTTCCACTAAGGCTGAGTTAGCTTCTGTTGCTGCCTTACAAGAATCCCTCTTTCTGATATTTGCAGTGCAACTACCATATTTTGTTGCATACAGTATGCTCTGGAATATAATACACAACTTTATTTTTGAAAGGCAGAATAAAGAAAAAAATATTTTCTTGGAGTGAGTGAGTAGTAGCAGCAAGGGAGCTGAGCCTGCGTGTTTTTTGGCTCTCTGTGGATTGCTGCAGTTTTTACTTTTGGTTTTATCTATAAGTTGAGAACCTGCTCTTACTGGATTTCTTGCATATAACACACAGTCCCATTTTCAGAAGCTGTTTTTGGGGAAAATGGTGTGTCTTGTGTGCGACAAAATGCGGTATGTGGAAGCCCACGCTTCCACCCAGCCCTCTTCCTTGGCTGGAGCTTTATTATATGATGTTTATTATAGCAGTGAAGTCATACAAGCTCGACTATGAAAACGTTGCTGTTTGGTCTCTCAAATCATAATATGCATGGCTGATCACAGAAAAACTATTATTTTATAGCAGCTGTTTCTTAAATGTGTTGTCCTTGTGGATTGTTTGACTCACTCTCCTTGCCAGCTAATATAGAATCCTAAACTTTCTGGATTCGTGATTGGTGAAAAAGCTGAGGGACATTTGAGACCACTCCATCCTTTATGCCTTTGGGTGTGTGTGGGAGGAACCAGTAGGGCACATGTGCAGCCCCAGAAGATGCCACTAGCTATAAGAATCTGATCTTACTTTTATGGGGTACGTGCACACCAAAAATGCAATCTATGCAACATGTCTTAAAGAAGCATGCAATATGGTAAGTTATGGTTCTTTTTAGAAGGTCATATTTAATTATTACTTTTTCCTTTTCTGATCCGTAGCTCCATCTGATGACTATGTAAAATCAAAGACATTTGAGGGTACTTGTGCGTTACATCTTTCTGCAAATCGTGGGTGTTTGGAAAGCATCAGTATTCTCTTGGAAGCAGGAGCTGATCCTAATGAAGTTACTTATGAAGCAACTACTCCGCTGTTTCTAGGTGAAGTACATTTTTTATTTTTTTTTTTTATTCTGATGATGCTTGGTAGGATGTGGGAAGTCATGGCATTACCCACCATGCTGTCATTGTCCAGTATGTTTTACATACTTTTGTAGCTTTTATACAATGATATACATTTGACTCTGGGACAGACACAGTGCTGCAAACTTATTTGATTTTTTTTTTTCTTTCTTTCATCATATGGCTGCGGGGCCCCGGGGTTGGAGCCCAGGGACCCTGGCAAGGGGCAGAAGGCCCGGGCTGGGGCAGCAGGAGCCCGGGCAGGCCTCCGCGGGGCAGGCCAGGCGGGAGTTCCAGAAACCCAGCCACGATTCCGGCTTTGCCCCAGTGCCCTGCCCGGGGGTCTTCAGCA